AGATCTTTTAAATGCCCAAACTGTGGCATGTGCTTTAGAAGTACCAGGGACCTGATGTCGCATCAACTTGCTCACATTGATGAGAGACCTTTTAAATGCCCAGCCTGTGGGAAGTGCTACAAAACCTCCAGGGACCTGATGTCCCACAAATGTGTTCACTCTGAGGAGAGACCATTTAGATGCTCTCTCTGTGGGACTGGCTTCAGGCGATCATCTGACCTCACGGAGCACCAGCAGGTTCACACTGGGAACAGACTGTACAGCTGCTCCAAGTGTGGGAGGGAATTCACTCGGTCGTCCAACCTGCTGAGACACCAGCAAGTTCACACTGTGGAGAGATCTTTTAAATGCCCAGACTGCAGGAAGTGCTACACAAGCTCCTGGGGACTCACTTGTCATCAACGTGTTCACACTGAGGAGAGACCTTTCAAATGCTCAGACTGTGGGAAATGCTTTAGGAATTCTGTGGAACTGAAGTCCCATCAACATGTTCACACTGAGGAGAGACCTTTTAAATGCTCAGACTGTGGGAATCACTTTACAATTCCTGGGGATTGTTTTATCATCAACGTGTTCACATTGAGGAGAGACCTTTCAAATGTCTAGTCTGTGGGAAGTGCTATCGAAGTTCTGTGGAACTGATGTCCCATCAACATGTTCACATGATGAGAGACCTTTCAGGTGCTTTCGTTGTGGGGTCGGGTTCAGGTGATCTTCTCAACTCTCAGTACACCAGCGATGTCACACAGGGGAGAAAGCATTTACCTACTCCATGTGAGAAAAACAGTTAGCTCACTTATCAACCCTACCGAGACAGCAGAGAGATCCCAATAGGGGACAGACCATTCACCTGCTCCATGTGGGGTAAGGAATTCACTCACACATCAACCCTGCTGAGACAGCACAGAGTTCACAGATCTCAACAGCAATTGGACTTTGCTGTTCATCACATTCAGGACTGAAACCAATGTGTTAATATTCTGGATAAAAGACTATTGATTAGCTTTGTGTTAAACACAGTGTGGCAGGTCATTGTAAGGATGTGATCACAGAGTACCTGGAAGATTCAGTGTGGCTTTGTCAAGGGGGGTTGGGTTCATGCCTGACAAATCTAATGGAATTCTTTGAGAAGGTACCGAACAACCTGGATAAAGGAGAGCCTGTAGATGTGATCTGTTGGATTTCCAGAAAGCATTTGACAAGGTGCCATACAGGAAGCTGCTAAAAAAGATAAGAGTCTGTGGTGTTACGTGCAAGGTACTGGCATGGATTGCAGATTGGCTGACTGGAGGAGGGCAGAGAGTTGGGATAAAGGGGTCTCTTTCAGGATGGCAGCCAGAAGACTAGTGGAGTTCAGCAGGGGTCAGTGTTGGTACCACCATTATTCATGTTCTGCATTAATGATCTGGTCAAAGGAATTGAGGGCATTGCTGCTAAGTTTGCAGATGACATAATGATAGATGGGGGGACATGTCATTGTTGAGGAAGTGTGAAGGCTTCAGAATGAAAAGGCTGCGAGAGTGGTCAAAGAAGTGGCAGGTGGAATATAGTATGGGAAACATTTGGGTCAGAAGACTGGAGACATAGATATTTTCTGAATGGAGAAAGGCTTCAGAAATCTGAAGTCCAAAGGGATTTGGGAGTTCTAGTTCAGGAATCTCTTTAAATCAACATGCAGGTTCAGTTTGTGGTTCAGAAGGCAAATGCAATGTATGCATTCATTGCAAGACAGCTAACAAACAAGACAAGGGATGTACTGCTGAGGCTATAAAACGCTCTAGTCAGACTGCATTTGGAATATTATGAGAAGTTTTGGGCCCTGTATCTGAGGAAAGATGTGCTTGCATTGGAGCGTTCCAGAGCAGATTTACAAGATTGATCGCAGGGATGAAGGGCTTGTCATATTAAAAAAAGTCACATATTAGGTATAAATAACTGGGTTCAAAGGAATCTCTTGAACAATATAAAGACAGTGGTGATATTCCAAACTGGGAGATCAGGATGGCAAAGTAAGTGTGTGAGATAATCTTGGCAAATGGGGTTCACAGTAATCCAAAGAGACTCTACAAGTACATTAGGAATAAGAGAGCAACTGGAAAGAAAGTCGGGCCCTTTAAAGGTGAAAGAGGTCATCTTTGTGTTGAACCTCATGAGATGGAAGAGATATTAAATGAATATTTCATGTCAATTTTTAAGGTGGAGAAAGAAATGGAGGCAAGAGAACTCGGGGAAATAAATATTAATGTTTTGAAAAAAGTTCACATTGGAGAAGAGGAAGTTTGAGGGGTCTTTGAAAACGTCAAGGTGGATCATTCTCTGGAACCTGAGTGTATCCCAGGACATTGTGGAAAGTTAGGGAGGAAATTTCTGGGCCTCTTGCAGAAATATTTGCATGATCTATAAATATAGGTGAGGTGCCAAATGACTGGAGAGTGGGTAATGATGTGCATTTGTTTAAAAAGGGATGTAAGGAGAAACTTGGGAACTGTAGACCTGCGAGACTGACTTCAGTGGTGGGTGAGTTGTTGGAAGTAAATCTGAAAGATAGGATTTATATGCATTTGGAGAGGCAAGGAATGATTAGGCCTATTCAGTATGGTTTTGTGCGAGTGAAATTGTGTCTCCCAAAATTGTTTGAGTTTTTTGAGGAAGTAACCAAGAAGATTGATGAGTGCAGATAATACACATTGTTTACTTGGACTTTGGTGAAGCCTTTGGCGAGCTTCTGTCTGGTAGATTATTTAGTAAAGTTAGATCACATGGGATTCATGGTGAGCTTGGCAAATGGATACAAAATTGGCATAATGGCAGCAGACAAAGACTAGTGGTTGAGGATTATTCTTCAGACTGGAGGCCTGTTACCAGCGTGTTCCACAGGGCTCGCTGCTGGGTCCACGTTAGTTTGTCATTTATACAATGATTTAGATCAGAATATAGATGGTATGGTTAGTACGTTTGTGGATGATACCAAATTTGGTGGTATAGTTGACAGTGAATAAGGTTATCTAAGAATACAAAGAGATCTTGATCAATTGGATCATTGGGGTGAGGAGTGGCAGATGGAGTTTAATTTGGATAAATGCAAGTTATTGCATTTTGGTAAAACAAACAACCGCAGGACTTACAGAATTAAAAGCAGACTCAGGCATATACTTCTTTGAAGTTTGTGTCATATTTAGACAGGGTGGTTGAGAAGTCGATTAGTAAGCTTGCCTCCACTGCTCAGACCTTTTGAGTAGAGGAGTTGGGAGTCATGTTGAGGTTGTACAGGACGTTGGTGAGGCCTCTTCTGGAGTACTGTCCAGTTCTGGTCATGTGTTATAGAAGGGTTATTATTAAGCTGGAGAGGATTCAGAAGAGAATGACCAGGATGTTGCTCGGAATGGGGGGATTGAGTTATAAGGAGAGGCTGGATAGGTTGGGGTTTTTTCACTGGAGTGTAGGAGTTTGAGGGGTGATCTTAAAGAGGTTTATATAGTCATTAAGGTATAGATAAGGTAAATGGCAGGTGTCCTTTCCCTAGTGTGAGGGATTTCAAGACAACGAAGAATATTTTTAAGGTGAGAGGAGAGAAGTTTAAAAAAGACATGAGGGGAAATGTTTTACACAAAGAGTGGATCGTGCGTCGAATGAACTTCCAGCAGATTGTAAATGCACCTGTATCTACCAATGTTTAAAAGACATTTATATAAGTACATGAATAAGAAAGGTTTGGAGGGATATGGGCCAGGAGCAGGCAGGTGGGACGAGTTTAGTTTGGGATTCTGATCGGCTTGGACTGAAGAGTCTGTTACCGTGCTATATGACTCCATGAGTCTATCTATGTCTGCCTGCAACCTCATGTCTGCATCACAACAGAGTTTTCTGTCCATCTTTAGCTACCTTCACCTCTCACCTAAGTGACTTATGTAAGTTGTAAAAGGTTCTGTAGTGAATTAGGCCCAACCATCTCCAACATGGGCAAGAAATAAAATCAAAGAATCCCTCCATTGCAGAAAGATGCACTGACCCTCCGAACAGCATGTCATGTATACTCTTCCCCCACTCCACCCCCATAACCCCACATAGGGTTTCTTACCATGGCTAATCCACCCAACCTGCACATGCCTGGACACAATCAGGCAATTTTTAGCATGGCCAATCCACCTAACCTGTCCATCTTTGGAGCATGAGAGGAAAACCGCTCACCCAAAGAAACCAAACACAGTCATGGGCAGAACATGCAAACCCCACACAAACAATCAAAGCCGCATTCCTGGCACTGTGAGGCAGCAATGCTAACTACTGGGCTTACATGCTGCCCAAAATTGCCTAGTGAACCTTGAAATTGAATGAGGAGCCTTAATATCTTCAGACTAATATATTCCCAACTCAGCTGTTTCAGCAACAACAGATACGGGAAGAATGAAGCTCTTTCTTTTTCCCCAGAATCAGTAGTTCTACACAGTCCTTTCCTGCTTATAAGTGGAAATGAAGATAACCAATTACTTTGAAAAGGTAATTAGATAAGCATTTAAGGGAAATAAACTTGCAAGGCTTTGGGGAGGGAGAAAAGAATTAGAGCAGAAAGTTGGCATTGATACAATAGGCAAAATTACTTCTCTGTGCCATAATCAATCTAAGACTGATTTCTGCACCCTCTGCTCATAATATAACACTTGAGTCCAGGAATCATAAATCTGCGCTGTGACCCCAGGAAAGTCCAGTCTCGGCTTCCTCAGCTATGGTACCCAGAGAAATCCTCCAGGGCTGCTCTGCACACAATTTCAAATTTCTTGGAGCTTTTCCCGTCATGCTGATCTCAGAAACCTTTTCACAGAGACACAAGAAACAAACTTATATTGTACACGGTGGAAGGTCAATGATAGTGAGGTGTTTATAAATAGAAGGACTCTGTTAGCTCTTGCTATGATGTGGTTGGAATTGATGATCTGGAAATGCTTCCCATTGACTGTGCTGTAAAAAAGAGTGGACAGAAGGCAATTCTCCCATCTGTCCAGGGCACAATCCTACATCATGTGTGGCTGAGAAGGGCTCCTCACCAAACCTTGTCCTGTCCGACCACTTTTCTTTTTTCTTTTCTCTTTTTTTTCTTGTGAATCCTTGGAGCTCGGTCATGCAGATGGCAGTATTAAAGGTTGGCCACAAGGAACAGGTCGCCATCAGCAACATCGTGACCTCATCAATGTCCAGAGCGGTGCCAGAGCTGGACACTGCTGCAAGCTGGTTGACACAGCAACGGATCATGGTAGTGCATTGGGGCCCAAAATGGGCTGGATGGCAATAGCGGCAGCAAAGGATGGCTGCAGTGGCGGTCACAGTCAAGGCCATTTGAGCGGCAGCGAGGCCTAGTGTGCCCGATGATGGTTGGAAGCTGCAGTCAGCTGCTGGTGACAACAGGCAGTTCCATGCCCAGTGAAGGGGAAAGCATGCTCTCTTGGGGAAGCCCATCTTGGACTGTCTGCAGGCCCATGTCTGAAGGAAGGATTGTAGTGTATGACTTTTGAACTTTGCAGGTATTTCTTTTTTTTTCACTTTTACGCTGAGAAGATTGTTGTGCTGAAGTTTTCAAATTATTTCTTTACTTTTCAACTTCTGTAACTAAGATTTTGTGCCTGGGTACTTAAGATACCACTGTGTGTGGCGACACTGTCCACTTCTCACTGTCTGCTGTAACCTGTACCTGAGAACATATGACAATAAAACGTCAATCTGAAATAATATTCGGGCTCCACCGAGCCTCCCACTAGCCCCGCCCACGCACGCACGGAGTTTGGAGGGCAAGCCAGCGCCCATTCAGTTCTAAGGAATGGTCACCGGACCCGAAACGTTAACTTTGATTTTTTTTTTCTTCACAGATGCTGTCAGACCTGCTGAGCTTTTCCAGCAACGCCGGTTTGTGTTCGCGCCCATTCCCTAGTCAGAGCGCCTGCCCCACTCTCGTCCTCTGGTTGGAGGATCGTGAGCGTCGGCACCCGGCTAACCCCGCCCCTTTCTTGTTATTGGTCGGTCAACTTTGTCAATCAGGCGGTGGGTGTTGGAGTATGCGTATAGTGAATTGTGACTGAGCATACGCGCCACGAACGATGGTCGAACAGAAACGTTTGCCTATTGCATCCAGAGGCGATAAGTGAAGTTTAAAGGGAAGACCAACGTTCGGCGCATTGTCCGGAAAAAAGGATTCATGGTTGCCCAGGTTAGGTCTCAAGCCCCAAACGTGGGTTTTTTGGTGCCGCGATATAAGTCGCCGAGACCCTCAGGCTTCTTCCCAGAAACAGGGCCGCTCGAAACGGTCACCAGACATAACAAGGTGTAGAGCTGGATGAACACAGCAGGCCAAGCAGCATCAGAGGAGCAGGATGGCTGACGTTTCGGGCCTCGACCCAAAGTGTGGACAGAGTTTCTGATCAAGAACCAGCCTACAATTAACTTCCAGGTCTTGCCACACAAACAAACAACAGCTTTATTCTTCTTAACACAAGTTGCTGCCCACAGCCCAGAGGTCACCGTTCAGCTCTCTGATTCGAAGCAAAAATGTTTTTAAAAAAAATCAGCGGGGTTCTAACACAGTCCAGAAAAGATTCAGTCAGGCATCCAACTACTAAGACACCTGTGGGTTTACAGGGGTTTTCAGGAGTCGGATTCTGGTGGTGTTGCTGCTTTTTATCACATCCAGCTTCATACTGCACTTTTACCGCAGTAAACCCTCCGACCGGGAGTAATCAAACACCACTGCGGAGCCCCAGATGGAGATATTGGAGCCGACTGGGGACGGAGGAGAGAGGAGTGGGGGAAGGCGGTGATAATGCGCAGGCGCGGTTAGCGTGTTGATGTTCATGTGAGTGGGCGGGGCCCCCAGTTCCTGATGTCCCTCTCTCCTTACCCGACGACTCTCTCCTCCGTCTCCAATGTCTTCATTAAAAGTTGCCATAGTTCCAGAAGACCATAGGACTGCTCTCTCACTTACGAGAAAGAGAGAACGAATTGTGCTTTAACCTACTATACCTCGGGCAAGGGTCAAGGTTAAGACGGAAGGACCTTCATGGTGACCTCAGTCAGTTAAGGCATTGAGTACATGCTGTTGGCGTCACTCTGCATCGCAAACCAACCAGCTAGCCAATTGAGGTAACCCATGTCCGGCCATTCAACAGTATCTCTGTCATAAATACACTCTGACTTGGCTTCCACAGCCCTCGACAACAATGAGTTCCACAGAATCACCACCCACTGGCTTAAGAAATTCCTCCTCATCTCAGTTCTAAAGGGTCATCCCTTCACTGCAAGGCAGTACCCTCGGGTTCAAGTTTCTCCTGCTCGTGGAAAAATCGTCTCCATGTCCATCTATCCAAGCCTCTCAGTATTTTGTAAGTTTCAATCACGTAGAGTCAGACAGCACAGGAATAGATTCCTCGGTCCAGCCAGTCCATGCTGACCATGTTCCGAAACTAAAGTAGTCCCACCTGCCTGCACTTGGCCCATATCTCTGCAAACATCTTATTCATGTACTTATCCAAATGTCTTTTAAACATTGTAATGGTAACGGTAGCCGCATCCACCACTTCCTCTGGAAGTTCATTTCCACACACTAACCACTCTGTGCAAAATAAAAAGATGCTGCTCATGTATTTTTTTAAATCTCTCTCCTGTCACCCTAAAAGTATGCCCCCTAGACTTGAAATACCCCACCCAAGGGAGACATAACCTTCCATTCACCTTGTCTACACCCTTCAGGATGTTATAAACCTCTATGAGGTCAACCTCAACCTCCTATGCACCTGTAAAATAACTCCCAGCCTATCCAGCCTCTCCTTATAACTTAATCCCTCTATTCCCAGCAACATCCTGATAAATCTTTTCTGAACCCTCTCCAGCTTAAATAAATATCCTTCCTTTAACAGAGCAACCAGAATTGGACGCAGTACTCCAGAAGAGGCCTCACCAACATCCGAGACAATCGCACATGACGTACCAACACCTGCACACAAAAGATCTGAGCAATGAAGGTAAGCATAATAAATGCGTTCTTAACCACCCTGTCTACATGTAATGTAAATGCAAATATTAGATAACTGAACCCTGAAGTGTCTCTGTTCTACAGCACTACCTAAGGCCCTACTTTTAATTGTATAAGTCCTGTCCCCCTTGTTTGTTTTGCCAAAATGAAATACCTAGCATTTATTCAAATTAAACTCTATCCGCCACTACTCAGACCCTAAACCCAATTGATCTCTTTGTAATCTTAGATAACCTTCTTCACTGTCCCCTATACCACCAATTTTGGTGTCATCGCAAACTTACTAACCATGCCTCCTAACTTCTCATCTAAATCATTTATATAAATGACAAACAAAAGTGGACTCAACAGCAATCTCTGTGGAACACTGCTCGTCACAGGCCTCCAGTCCAAAAAACAACACTCCACCACTGCACTGTATCTTGTCATTTTGCACATTTTGAATCCAACTTGCAAGCTCGTTCTGAAACCCATGTGATCTAACTTTACTAATTAGTCTATCATGCGAATCTTGTCAAAGGCTTCACTGTAAAGTCCAAGTAAACAATGTCTACTGTTGTGGCCACATTAATCTTCTTGATTAGTTCATCAAAAAACTCAATCAAATTAGAGAGACACAATTTACCTCACACAAAACCACGCTGCCTACCCCTGATCACGCCTCTCCAAATACTTTCTTTTAGAATCATCTCCAAAAATGTACCCACCACCAAAGTCAGACTCATGGGTCAGTAGTTCACCGGCTTCTCCCTACATCCCTTCTTAAACTCATAACATTAGCCACTCTCCAGTCATCTAACACCTGACCTGTGTTATGGATGACTCAAATATTTCTGCAGGAAGCATAGCACTTTCCTCCCTTACTTCCCACAATGTCCTGGGATACACTGGATCAGGTGCCGGAGATTTATCCACCTATGTATTTACTAAGATCTCCAGCACTTCCTCTCCTATAATGTATACTATTTTCAAAATATCAATGTTTATTTCCCGAAGTTCTTTGGCCTCCTTCAGTCCAGCTCGTCCATGCCGACCAAGTTTCCCAAACTGAACTAGTCCTACTTGCTTGCGTTTCGTCCATATCCCCCTCTACCTTTCCTATTCATGTACATGTCCCAATGTCTTTTAAATGTTGTAAGTGTACCTGCATCTACCACTTCCTCTGGCAGTTTATTCCACATGCAAACTACCCTCTGTTTGAAAAGGTTTCCGCTTGGTTCCATTTTAAATCTTTCTCCTCTCACGTTAAAAATATACTGTCTAGTTTTGGACTCCCCTATCCAGGGGTAAAGACCTTTGCTATTCACCTTATCTACACCTATCATGATTTTATAAACCTCCATACAGTCAACCCTCAACCGCCTACTCTCCAGTGAAAAGAGTCCCAGCCTATCCAGTCTCACTTCATAATTCAAACCCTCAAATCCTGGTGGCATATAGACTGTAAGTGTAGCATGAAGCCACACAGAGTAGTAAGTCAATCGAGCTATGAGAAACATCGCCTAGTCTCCATTTCTTTGGCCCTTGGTCGAATAGTTTGGCAACAGGAACTGTCCCACCTCGTACATGGAGGGTGTGCATTTGGGCTAACTTTCTTCTCAGTAAAAACTGACGTGAAATATTCATTTAATGTCTCTCCCATCTCCTGAGTTTCAGCACAAAGATGACCCCCTTGATCTTTAAGATGCCCAGCTCCCCCTCTCGTTGCTCTCTTGCTCTATATGTACTTGTAGAATTTCTTTGGATTATCCTTAGTCTTGGCAGATCAGGTTATCTCATCTTCCCTCTCTAACTTCCTGATCTCCTCTTGCGACAGCTATGACACTCTTTATACTGTTCAAGAAATTCATTGAACTCACTTGTCTATATGTAATATGATTTCTTTTTGTTCTTGACTAGAGCCTCAATATCTTTATTCATCTGTTGTTCTCTAATCATACCAGCCTTACTTTTCACTCTAATGTGAACATAATGGCTCTGAACTCTTGTTATCACACTTTTGAAAGCCTCTCACTTAGGAAATGTCCGTTTACCTGTGAACAGACTACTCCAATCAACTTTTGAAAGTTCTTGTCTCATAACATTAAAATTTGCCTTACTCCAGTTAAAAACTTAAATTTTCATGGAAGGCTTATGCTTTTCCATAACTCTTTTAAAAACTAATAGAATTTTGATCACGATACCCAAAGCGTTCCCCTACTATCACTTCAGTCACTTGCCCTGCCTTATTACCCAAGAGAAGGTCAAGTTTTGCTCCTTCTCTAATAGGAACATTTACATGTTGATTAAGAAATTTTCTTAAACATATTTAACAAATTCTTCACCATTCAAACCTTTAACAAGATGGTCGTCCCAATCAATGTTTGGAAAATTTAAATCGCCTATTATTACAAACTTATTATATTTATTTCTATCTGAGATGTCTCTACATATTTGTTCCTCGGTTTCCCTTTGAGGTGGGGGGGTGCAATAGTACAATCCCATCAAGGTGATCATTCCTTTCAACCCATATATTTTCACTTGATTATCTTTTACAAATATTTTCTCCAGTTACAGCAGTAATGTTTTGATTCATCAAAAACACCACTACTCCTGTTTTACCTCTCTTTCAATCCTTCCTATATCCCCGTTATACTTCTAAACTCCATTGAATGCAGACCCAGAGTCCTCAACTGCTGTTTTTATGACAAGTTCTTCATCCTGGGATCATTTTTTGTAGAACTACTCTGGACTCCCTCCAAGGCTAGCACATCCTTCCTTCGATACAGGGCCCAAAACTGGTCACAATATTCCAAACAAGTCTGACCAGAGCTACTACAGCCTCAGCAGTACATCTCTGCTCTTGTATTCTAGACGCCTTCAAATAAATCTTAAAAAGACATTAGCCTTCTATCTGGCAGCTGAACCTGATGTTAATCTTAACAGAATACCTAAACTAGGACTCCAAAGTCACTTTGCGCTTCAGATTTCTGAAGCCTTTCCCAATTTCAAAAATAGTGTCTGCCTTTATTGTTCCTACCAAAGTGCATAGC